AGCATTGGAGGTCAATTATTTTTCATATTATTAGAAGGTAAGATTTGCAAAAATTTATAATAGCAAATGAAAAATCTGGAAAAATTTTATACCAACAATGTAAAAGCCCATGGTAACATGGTAACATGGCGCCAGGGGTTAGAAAAAATTACTCAGTACTGGACTCTTGCATCACTACCAAGCCTGTTAACCAAGTTATTTAGCCCCCTGATCATGATTTTAGCAGTTTCCAGTGCCTTAAGGAGCAATCAGAAGCACCAGTATCATGGGAGTATTTTTGAAATTATCTTTTACCACCCAAAAAAGTAGGTGTGACCAAAATCGCGGCCAGCTTCACACCCTCGGCCTCAGCATCCCCCTTTCCCAATTTCTAGATACGCCCCTGTAGTTTGTTTCTTTTTAATATTAGATAGTATTTCAGTGATGATGCATGTTTACATTTTGTCACATAGTGAATAAATAAGTAGATGCATATAGAGTCAGATACATAATTTATAAAATTACTTAAGATATCAATCAATTAATTTCGGGTACATTTAACTCACATCATCACCCCATCCCTTTTCTTGATGAGAAGGAACAAGCCTAAATAAAGTTGCTTCAGAATTTCCTTTATCAAGCCATGCCTGTAAAAGATAATTTGAGAACTCATTAACAATTACTGACTGAATTAGTAGGAGTAACAGCTAAATATCTGCCAGATGCCTGATGTTGAATCTATAAAATTTGAATTTTTATCAGTACCATAAAATTCTGTGACTAACCCTGATGATACTACCATAAACAACAGTCATAGGTTCAGCACTTTCTGCAATAATATGATCATGACAATAACTATTTTTGTAAAGTAAGATCAAAATAAAATTGATTATTGTTTAGCGCACCTTTGATGTTTAACACTTTGCAGTTTTCCGTGACTAATAAGAAATGCAGCAACTAAACAAATAAATTGATTTTAAAAGTAGGCACATTTAAATTGATATTGATATTAAGAGTGTAGGAAAAATAAACTTTGACAACTTGCAAATGTCTTCATAAATTTTGGCATTATAGTGTTGAGCATGATAATGATACAGAAATATTTTTAAAATAACAACAAAAAAGAGAATAATCTTAGGGCATAATAATAATAATTATTATTATTATGAATAGGTCACACATAGAGCTCCCCTAGCCCCTGGCCCCCCACCTGTCGTGGACAATCTTCTCTATTTAAATTTGGGTTTGTTTTGTTTCATTTTTTGTTCAGATGTTTTATCATACTGTACAGTTGGAAATATTTGTGGGGAATTAAATTTTGTGAGTTGCAGATCCATCAAAAGCCCAAAATTTAAATCCACAAAATAAAGAAATTCATGCATGACCAGTACATTATTCTTCTAAGTTTTTAAGACATTTATGTCAAGACAGTATGTTTTTAAGACACCGGGCTGACAGAACTTGGTTCTGAGTATTGACTGCATAAACTGAAGAATATAAAGAAAAATGAATTACTAGTTAAACTACTCAATGTTAATGATAAACAAGAAAACTAAACCTCAGACATACAAAAATTACTAGTGATGCATCCACTTCATCATGTAACAAATCCTCAAGTTGTATTGTGGGTTGTTTTTCTTTCTTTCAGTCTTGTGTGTTAATTCCTCAGTTGTGTTGCATCCAATTTTGGAGTTAGACCTTCAACACTATATTAGATTGATATCTCCTTTTTTATGTTTTTATTCTTGTTATTGTATGTCAGTTGTTAAGTTAATATTGCTATGAATTAAAATAATAATTAATAATAGCCTAAACCATTATTTTTGGTTTGGTTTTGTCATTTTGTCTTGTAAAATAAATTGTTTATTAAATTTTCAATTTGACAGTTGTTTGTTTAAAAGTTAGTTGTTGTTGTCTGTGCAGCAATGATAGATGATGTAACAGCAACAAAAATATTGTCAATATTATTATAGGCCACAGAATCAACAATTCATCATGAAAAATAATAAAATAATCTGCCAAATAATGTCCCAGAAAATAGGTTACAAGGCGTCCCGCCCTGTAAATTAGTGAGTGATAAATAGTGACCACCATTTTTTGTCGGATTCCCTGCGTAGGCAAGTATTAAGTACTGTGATTGTCTGTCTGTGATCATAAATTTTAAATTAGATTTTTAAAAAAATGTTTGAATTAAAAAACTGAGTGCTCTAGGCTTACTTTCTCCATAGCTAGTGCAAGCCTTCCTTCATCAGGTAAAAACATTCAAAGAGCAGTGCTAGGGTGAAGAAGCTTGTAAAGTAATGGGAAAAAGTACAGCGACTGTGCTGACACTCTCAAGATAGATAAAACCATTTCCCAGTAGATTACTACTTTCCCTTTCATTAATGTGTGTAATTCTTACTTGGTAGCAACTTATGCTCTAGCCAAACGACTTTGTGAAGGGCTGAGGCAGAAATGTGGCAGGCTAGCAGTGCTAGACTCTCTCAACTCTTTAAAATATATCTAGGCAGCAGTATTGTGCCATATTACTTATCATAAGCCACTCGTAAAAAGAAAAAATTTAAGCTTCTTCAGTCACATGTCATGCATACTAAGGCCATTTCGCGGTGGAAAATTTTCACAAATTTTGCATTTCTAAGATTTTGGGAATTAATTTTTGCAAATAGCTTGCAGATTGCACCACATGGTAAAAATATTTTACCGCAAAAATAAACAAGTATATGGTATTAAAACATTATGGGAATTTTACTGTAGCTGAAACCACAACATTCAATGTTGTAGTTTCAGTTATAGTAAAATTCCTGTATTACTACAACATTATAGTGAAAGTAATGTATTATAGTAAAAATTAATGTATTAAAGTATCATAATAAAATTAATGTATTATCAAAACATTTTGACAATGTTGTGGTTTCAGCAATAATAATCTAATAGTCATTTCCTTCATTTAGTTACATCAGTCTCATGTAGTAAGTCTCAGTCGTGATGAGACAAACACATAGCCAGTTTTTTGGCATTTGGACATCACAAAAAGGGAAGGAGTCTGGCTATGCAAGACTAAACCGGAATGTTCCTGCATAGCCTCACATAGCTAGACTCTCCTCTTTTTGATGTCCAAATGCCAAAAACTGGCTACACTGAACAGACTAATGTAAACAAGTGAAGGAAATGAATAAGTAACTACAAAATGACAGAAATTTTACTAATACTGAAACCAAGCATATGCATGATGAAAATGAAGCTGGATTTTTCTTAGCACAGTACCAGCTAGTTTTATTTTTTGCTAGATTTTTATTATAATTGTGGATGCAAATTATTTAATTAAGAAGAAATTAAGCGTTAATTAATAGCAATGCGGCCAGGCTTACAATCAATGTTAGGAAAGTGAGGTAAATTTTCTCTTGTGGGATAAACAGTGACAAGATTTGATTCAGAACTATAAATAAATGAATTATTGTTAATTTTACTCCAAAAAAAGATGCTTCAGTTTTACCTGACGGGCTCACTGTATACATAGCCCGAGGCTTCTAGGCAATAAAACAGGAAGGCATCTCCATCAAACATAGAAGATACCGTAGCGTCCATAGCTTTTCACCCGAGTATCTCTGTGCTTTCAACGTTTCAGTTTCACCATGTAGACTCTCTACTACGAGGGTGATTATAGTTCAGCTTATCGACGCTCCTGTTCTTATAGCGGGCCAAAAGCTTATACAAGTATAATTGACCAATCGGATTGCTCATTAAAAGGGAGGATACATTGTGCAACATTAATTTAACACAATTATAGGCATGCTGCATGCTATATTGACTCCTGCATAAATTGTATTTTAGATCTATGAGTTGCATCTAACAGAATATTGCATACACTCACCGTTAAGTTGAGCTTAACACTGCCACATTACTGAGTACTATAGATACTGCAGTTTAGATCTACTTAATTTCTAAGCATATAAAAATTATAAGAATCCCTCAGAAGTCCAACTACAAGTGTGTATTGAGGAATAGTGGACTGCAGACCTTGGTGGAGTGATAAACCAATTGGTATACATGTACAATTATTGTGTGACTACAAAGAAGCTATATAGATCATGCTTTTGTATAAGGTTCTATAGTCTCGTTCTAACATGAATCTGCTTAAATAAAAGGAGGTGTACATAAGTGATGGAAAAGTCTAACAATAATTTCTTAATTTAGTCTGTATATCAGAGATGAGTTAAATCAAATCAGAAGAGATCTCTGCTGAACATAATAATGGACATGTATTCTCTGACTCCAATAACCTGCAATAATGACATTGGATAAATTTCACTTAAGATCATATACATGTACATGCATACTTCTTAAACTCTGAATAAACTGCTGGAAAATGACAAAAAGGACATTCAGACCAATCATCAGCTACCATGTGATGACCCTATTATGAGTATGATAATTATTACAGATCACTTCCTGAGCATACAGTGATAATACAGTAAGGAAGGTTGTTCTTGCACTGTGGACAGTCTAGTCTCATTTGTGGGAGCATAAAGGAACAAACAGGACAAGGAGTTGTGGCATCCTCAACCTCACTCCGCTCTGGTTTTCTATTTCACAAAATCAATTAAAGCATCAAAATACATAAATGCACCAATGCATGTATAGTATGGGTACCTGACAATGCTTTCTAATTTCTTCTTCCATTTCACATCAATGTTAGGACGATATTCAGGCTTCATTAGCATAGCAGCATATGTAAATGCAGACTCTTTAAGTCCTGACCTTTGACATTCAATGACAGTAGATGTTAGTATTGGAACAATATCTATCAGGAACAATCAACCAGTGATAAGTTAGTAGCCAGTGGTACTCACGACTAGGGAATTTACTGATGTTACTAGCTACTCGAACTAACAAACGAGCTGCTTTATCATGAGCACCTAATTTAACTTGAAGCTACATTATAATGAGATGCATAAAATTTATTATACATGTACATGTATAAAGCTGCAATACATGCATACCTTGACAAGAAGATAACTGTGTAATATCATTAGACTTTGCTTCATTTCTGTTGGTATTTTAATATGACGCTCAAGAAAATCTATCAAGGCAATGCAACATAAA